CTTTTCTTTTCTTTTCTTTTCTTTTCTTTCTGTCTGAACACATGTGGTGTTCTTAGAATCCAAGAGGGCAGGTACATTCTAACCTCTGTAGAGTGTGTGAGAAATTATCCCTTGTACAGCTGAGCTAGTCAAGTTGTCACCTTTGCGATTGTACTGGCTAGATGATACAGTTGCTAAGTTTAGACCATTTTAAAACTTTTTAAGGAAAGAGAAGAAATTCAGTGTTGACTTAACCCCTTTAGAAATGGAATGGAATGTTTATAGGTGGTTGGCTTTATGTTTATTTAATTGCTCACATTAAGTTTAGTTTGCTCGTTGAAATGCATAGTGAAAAATGCCACTTCTCTATGTATTTATAAACAAATACGTAAATGCGTTGGCAGTTTTGTACAGGTGGTAGCAAATAGTAATTTGCAAGTAGATATAACTTCACGTTTGGCTCTCACAAGTTCATAAAAGCATACACTTTTGCAAACATGTAAGGCCTTGTGGATAGCTTGAGCATTCGGTATGCAGTCATTCTTAAAGGGGAGACTCTTAGAGAAAGAATTCCTTCCTTGAATGGCAATTAAGTGTGCTATGAACATTAAAAATACAGTAAGTTCTCAGTTTCCTGAAAAATTAAATTTTGGCTGCAATATGTAGACCTGTTTATAACAATTGCCCACTGAGGTGGTTTGGATGTGGCCACATCAATTTATTCATTCAATGAGTATTTAATGGCCACTTCCCATGTGCCAGACAAGACAGGAGGTTCTGGGGACAATGTACTAACTCAGCCAGATGTGGCCTCTGCCGCCATGGGGCTTATAATCATGCAGTATAACCACAATGCCTCACCATTTTTCAATTTAAAATATTTATTGAGGAAGTGTTTCACATCTGTTCTATTATAAATGGCTTATGGCTGGGTGTGGTGGCTCACGCCTGTAATTCTAGCACTCTGGGAGGCCGAGGCAGGAGGATTGCTTGAGATCAGGAGTTCGAGACCAGCCTGGGCAAGAGCGAGACCCTGTCTCTACTAAAAAAATAGAAAAAATTAGCCGGGCATGGTGGTGCATGCTTATAGTCCCAGCTACTCGGGAGGCTGAGGCAGGAGGATCGCTTGAGCCCAGTGGTTCGAGGTTACAGTAAGCTATGATGACACCACTGCACTCCAGCCTCCCTGGTAGAACAAGACCTTATCTTTAAAAAAAAAAAAAAAATTGTAGGCAATGGAGAACTGGTGAATGTGTTTGCTAGGGTAGTGAGATGATCTGACTATTAGGAAAATAATTCTGTCTCCAGTGTTTAGCAAGAAGATAGGCTGGAAACAGGAAGAACACAGGCCAGTGTAACCGTCCAGGTGAGAAACAATGACGCTTTAACCAGGGTCAGTAGCAATGGACATGGAGAGGAAAAGACACATTTTAAGCGAAGAGTCAAATAGGGTTTGAACACAGGGTGTGGGCGAGAGGGAGATAGCAAATACAATGGAGAGGTTGATGGGTAAAACAAGGCCATTGTGAAGGGATACAGGCATAACTGGGAAAGGAGCAGGTCTGGAAGGGGAAAGATGAGCTCAGTCTTAGACATGTGATATGTCACAATGAAAAAATTATTCTATTCTGTAACAGCATAATTAAACAGGAAAACTGTAATACAATGGAAAATAGGCATAGATTATACTAAAGTTGGTTGTCGTAGTTATAATTTCATTCTGAGTACCTGCTGGTATCAGATTATTGTTAGAAAGAAAGAGAAGAGAGGAGAGGGAGGGGAGAGGGAAGAAAGGATAGAGAAGAGAGATTTAAATGCAATAAATGTTAGCTAAGCCAAATATTTTTTTTTTTTTTTTTTTTT